TACTATTGGTGTCAAACGATTGTTAAGAGGTTGTTGATTTAATATATATTATTTTACTAAAAGGATATTGAACCATTTTACTAAAGATGAGATAATAAGATGAAACTTATTTTTAACAAGTTTCCTACTTGTTTAGGAAGGTGTTTAGTAAAGTCTTCCTAAACAAGTGAAAATCCTTCCTAAACTTATTCTTACGAAGGTTTCCTACTTATTTAGTAAAACCATCCTAAGCAAGTGAAAATCTTTCCTAAATTTATTTTTAGGAAGGTTTCCTACTTGTTTAGGAATGTATTTAGGAAGACATTCTTAAACAAGTGAAAAATTTTTCTAAACTTATTTCTAGGAAGGTTTCCAACTTATCTAGGAACGTGTTTAAGAATGCCTTCCTAAACAAGTGAAGATATTTCATAAACTTTTTTTTAAGAAAATTTCTTACTTGTTTAGGAATGTGTTTAGGAAGACCATCTTAAATAAGTGAAGATCTTTCCTAAATTTATTTCTAGGAAGATTTCCTACTTGTTTAGGAAGGTATTTATGAAGGCCTTCCTAAACAAGTGAAAATCTTTCCTAAAATTTTTGAAAAAGGTTTCTAACTTGTTTATGAAGGTGTTTAGGAAGTCCTTCATAAACAAGTGAAAATCCTTCCTAAACAAGTGAAAATTCTTCCTAAACTTATTTTTAAAAAAGTTTTCTACTTATTTAGTAAGATCTCCCTAAACAAGTGAAAATCCTTCCTATAGTTTTTTCAAGAAGGTTTCCTACTTATTTGAAAAAGTGTTTAGGAAGGCCTTCCTAAATAAATGTAAATCCTTCATAAACTTATTTTTAAGAAGATTTTACTTGTTTAGGAAGGTGTTTAGGAAGACATTCCTAAACAAGTGAAAATTCTTCCTAAACTTTTTTTTAGGAAGGTTTTCAACTTGTTTAGGAAGTTGTTTAGGAAGGTATTCAATGTGAAAATCCTTCCTAAACTTATGTTTAAGACCTTCCTACTAGTTTATATAATTAAAAAGTTTTTTCTCTCTCTAGAGTGTCCACATAGCAAAATTATTTTTGAAAACAATCAAGTTTAAAAATAAATTCATTTATTACACACTAAATAATATTTATTTATTTTTTTGTAACTAATAAAAAAATAGAACAAAAAGATGAAACATTAACCCTTAAGTAAATGAATCTATCACAC